AAGACTGTTAGTGACATGTGCAACAGCTTACCACTGAAAGAGTGCATGGGGAGAAACCAAGACAGCTCATAGCCTAAATTTTTTAAAGGTTAGAAATGCATTAAGTGTTAGCTCTTCATCATAGCAAAGGACACACAACTGAGGTGTGACAACATATCATGTGTTGGCTGTCAGTCAATCAAGGGACAGCTGCACCATGTGTTTTGGTTCAGCAGTTCTTCTTACACAGTAGTATTTTGTTTATTAATAAAGGAAGTTGCATTCATTTTGAGACGGAATTCCTTATAGTTTATACATCAGGTTTTTAACAATTTGATAGGGCTAGCTATCTGTATCAAATTTCAGTTGAGAATCAGCAAAGTAAAAAAAAATCTTTGTTCTACTTAAACTGGCTGCTCCTTGAATATGAATTTATTAATCCATCAAGAGGCTTACAAAGGAATGCTTCTTTGGGGGGCCAATAGATAATAGAAGGGTTTAAAATGGGTGGGGCAGCTACAATGCACATGAGTCAATAAGTAATCAAGTGACAAAAAGGTACAAGACTGATGATCAATATGATATCTGGGGGAGCAAAATGAAGAGTGGGAAACCATATTTATGGTGTTTAAGCAACATTTTGGGGTACTACTTAATTTTTCTCAGTAAGTAGAGTCATGCAAGTCCAGGGCTCGACACTAACGGTAGCCCACTAGCCACAGACTAGTAGAAATTCAGTTTTGGCAAGTGCTTTTCAATTTCCACATGCCAGTTTGGCTAGTAAACCGACTGAAATTGTCGTAACATCTAAAAACATCTAAATTAAGATGTCACTAGCCACTTGGCTAGTAAGTTGAAAAGTTAGTGTCGAGCCCTGAAGTCCCGGAAAGAAAATTCTGGGCATACCTTAGCAAAGAAGATTCGTTCATGACACATGTCAAAGAAAACTGATTATATCTCCTAACAATGTACAGTTATTTCAGTGTCCTTGTTAAGTATTGTCAAGTATCTCTTTTCCTATACTAGCAAAATTGAGAAACTTACTGGTCAAGCAAAAACAAATTTCATAGGTAGTGAGAATAGAGATTATTTAAACGCATAGGCAGTCCTTAATCTGATTGAATGCCTTCCCTTGTAGCTTGTGGATCATAAAAAATTACAGGCGTTTACAATGCCACTTAAATATGCCAATAGAAATACTTTACTAACAAGACTGATACGCATCAATCAACTGATAACTTCCTGAGAAAAGATGCTATTTAATATTTTAACTGATATGAACTATTTCAAGTGCCCCTCAAATGAGCTAATTATTGAAAAAAATTATTACCGTATTTACTCGCGGATAGGCTGCAGTTTTTTAACAGAAAAATGGGATGAAAGTGAATGGTACGATCTAGTTATCGTACAACACATTCGACTAAATAAAAAGTCCATATCTTCGAAGAATCTTTCTCCTCTCACTGGCAGTGGGTGCATCAAGATTTTGAAAAGGGTTCTCTATACCCTTTTTAAAACTCTGTCTGGTTAAAAATGTTTGGCCTTCTCACCAATCACGCATGACATTCAACATTTTTTCACGTTTACACAAAATTAAAACGATCTTGTTTCACTTAAAATAAAAAAAACAAATTCACAGATTAATATTTTCACTCTTTCTAGCCTGTTTAAAGTGATGTCTTATTCCATTTGTTCAAGAGCCATTAGTGGTCTAAGTGTTTTATGACTTTTATCGATCCATATGAAGTCCGCGTTTTGTCCTGACCTTAGCACAGCCATTGTAAAACAATAAGTACATTTTCAGAACAATGAAATGGCCGGAAATTCATCATGCAAAACAAAATGATTCACGAATCAGGTTTATTTCAGCTCTTCATATACGGGTCACTTTTACAGAGAAAATTTAGTGACGTGGACATGAAAAGATTTTATCAGTTACTTTGCAGTTAATGTCCGACAGTTTTCTTTTCATCCAATTTCATCAAAAATAGCGACTGTAAACTTTTTGCCTTCATTTAACACTTCTCAACAAGTCGATCAGGATGACCAATTAAAAAAAAGTAAAAGCCTTTTTGACCTTAGGATTTAAGACCACCGACCAATATTCTTAAATAGGCGACAACATTCATAGAAAACTATTAGAGATGTGCTTTTGACCGATCATGCATTTTGTTTTAGTTGTGTCAATTTCCTTGTTTCAGTACAATACTTGAAGGGAAAGTTATGGGAAGCACTGTGACAGATAACACCAACTACAGTATGCTCCAGGCCCAAGTGGAAAGCCAAGAGCCAAGTCAGAAACGATTTGTTCCCATGGAAGAAAGGCCCGACACCAGCTTACTTCCAGCTGAACTCATGCCCCCTATTTCTGGCGGTAAATAGTTATTTGTTCTCTTAGCAACCAACCAGCATTGCAGGTGCACGGCTGTACCATGAGGTCACCTGAATAGTCTTCACGACGGAAGACGAAGTATGCACTAAGATAAGCATTAGAAGATTTAGCAAAATGTCAAAAAAAGAATCGGGGACTACTAAATGCTCATTGTTCCCTCTCAAACAGGCAAGCCAACCTAGATCCCGTTAGGTGCACACATCGATGAGTTGAACCACCTGGCAAACCAACTTATCTGAAAATGAAAATAGGGAGACAAGTATTAGTTTCCATTTCTAAGATGTTTTTTTGTTTCTTTGTTTTAAAGGAAAATATTCTACGACCTACCGGGGTATTCCACTTTTGAAAGATCCTTTCCACTTCACTGTTGTACCACAGTTGCTTTGGGAGTTGAGACCACGAACGATATTCGAATTCGGCGCCTACCATGGAGGTTCAGCCCTATGGATGGCAGATCTTATGAAATTGTACGACTCTGAGTCACGTGTCCTATCTTTGGATATTGATCTCACTAAGTTGGAATCTTTAGCCAGGAAGCACCGTCCAGATATTGAGTTTATTGAGGGAAACGTGTTCGATGTCGAAACACACTTTCCTGGGGAACGTCTTAAGGTGAGCAATTATCAACACAATGATTGAAGTTGTGGGTGTATTCCTCATTTTTTTTTTTTCCATCACTGGTCAACCAAGGCTAAATTTTAAGGGAAAAGATTATAAAAAAAGATAGAAATAAACAGTGACGTCATTGTTGGTCTACAAATGATTGCTCAGCCAGAACTCTAAAGAAATGTGGTGATTATGACGGATGACGCCACGATAATGTAGTGATGGACCCTCTCTGACCTAAACAACAAACTGCGCAATGGACAACTCCAACAAACTATTCTTGGGGAGATTTACATGACAGTTATACACCTACTACCAATTAAGGTCTGCCCGGGAAACTGCTGTTATTCTATGACGCCAAGGACTTACTTTTGAAATATGATGGGCAGATATACCCAAAAGAAAACCTGTAGGTACATCTTAATCTTTGTACGTGTTCTCAAAGTAGTCGTTCCTGGTGCAGTCAATTTCATTTTGGCTTGTTTGAGACAACATTTAAACAAACCAGCACTGCAGAAGCAGAAGTTTCACTTTGGCGGCTCTTGCTGTTGTATACCGTGCTGAAGAAAAGTGGACTAATCTGATCCAAATGATATGATTAGCTCTGGTCACGCTATGATTTCTTCGCGCGGAAAATCTTGAATTGCTGCAATATCCCTAGAATAAACAAACTTTTGAGATTTATTTTGCTTTTCGATCGTTGTATCATTTTTTAGAAATTACCTCATCCCTGGTTACTAAGTGAAGACTCACATGTGAACATGATAGGCGTGTTGGAGCATTTCCACAAATTCATGCAACCTGGCGATTATCTTTGCATTGAAGATACAAACCCGGCGGGACCACAGATTAGTGGGCAGGGGGTCGTGAAGAAGCTGGGATATGTAGAGTGGGGATCTGCCAAATTAGACGACCTCAAGAGATTCGTGCAAAATCATCCAGGGAAATACTTGGTTGATCGAAAATATACCGACTTTTACGGGTAAGAAAGGGTTATGAGTAGTGATCATATTTTTATCATTATCATCATTATTGTCGGTATTGTTATTTTTAGTATAATCATAACCGTTACAATTTCCTTAAAAGTGATTGTTTCTTTAGCTGCTTAATTTTTCACTAATTATCCAGTGGAGTTGTAATCGGATAGTATAATTGGATACCTGTGATAAGATACCTGTAATCGAACAGTTAAAGTAGACCGCCTCCCGGTTAGCTCAATTGGTATAGCGCCGGACTGTTCTGTGGGAGGTCGAGAGTTCAAATCCGGCCGGACCAACACTCAGGGTCTTTAAATAACTGAGTAGAAATTGCTGCCTTTGTAATAATTTCTGCAAACGTTTAGACTTTCTAGTCTTCTCGGATAGGGATGATAAATGGAGGTCCCGTCTCACAACCCCTTATATGTGATTTAAATTTGTGGGACGTTAAAGAACCCACACACTCCTCGAAAAGAGTAGGGCACGTAGTGCCCGGTGTTGTGGTCTATTTTTGTGCAGTGTCTATCCAGGGTGAAATGGGGCGAGGGGTGGTGCCTCGCATGGACCTTGTTTTCCGTTCGCACTAATCCTTCCGGGTCTAGTCACACCCGGTAAAGTCGTTAAAACAAACAAACAAACAACAAACTAATCATATTAACTCCAATCAGCTAAACCGACCAATCACTGAATTGATCACAATAACCATAACAACAACCACTTACCCTACAAAACTAGGGAATTTCAAGAGTGGAGGAATTTTTACTTTAGAAAATGTTTCAAACAGAGTTTTTTTTTTTCGCAAATAAATTTTTTTTTCGGAAATTGTAATGGTTATAATTAATTGGTAACAGGACTTCGAATCGTCCAATTCAGTCAGTAATCGTACTCGTGATTGACAAATCGCACACCAACCTAGCAGTGTCCAATTTTGTAATCACTTGTATGGTTACATCTACAGAATTGGACTCCACTCGATCCTATTACCATTATTTATTAGTATATTGGTGGAGTGTATACATTCAATTTTGTCGCAAGTTCGAAAACATCAATCTTCTCAACATCTCTAACTGTTCAAATAGCACATTACATTATGACTTCAAAACATTCGCTTTTCCTCCCGCCTACCAGTTGAGGGATGATGGGAAAAATCTTGTATCTCTTATCTATATCAAGCTTTTTTTTTTTTCATCTTTTGCTTTCCATCTCTTGCAGATCCAATGTCACATGGAACACCAACGGCTTCTTGCAGCGATTTTAGTGCATCATAACTGCACATAAATATGTTGTTAGAGAAGTTCAGTTACGTTATAAAAAAGAAAGTGTTAAAATACATATTAATGAGGCGAAAATAAATAAAAAGAAAGAACATAACTCTAATATTGTAATTAAAAAGTTTCGCTAGTATGAAGTCTTTTTGAGTGTTAAGAGTCGGTCTCTTTTTCTTTGTGAAAAGCATCTCATAAATAAGGCACTCAAACTTTCCACGACATTTCTTTAAGATGGTAAATTGCTCATGAAGATTGTTCGGTGTTAGATTCTGTTCGTCCTTGAGATGTTTACCTATCACGGAATATTTGTGCTCCTCAATGCGTAGGTGGAGGTGACGGCTCGTGTAGCCTATATAATTCGAATCACACGAATTACATAGAAATTCATACACGACGCATTGTTGGTTAACACGGTTTCACGCTTCCCAAGACCAAAACCAAAACCGTATTGAACCAGTCGACAGCCCTGTACGAATTATCTTGGCGTAGGCAACTAAGCGACCTCAGGGGTGGCGAATGGTAAATGCGAGACGGCGAGACTAGCGTTTTTCTTTGCGAGCCCGAGAAATTTTGACTTTTTAGATTGCGAGACCGAGACTTCAAAGGGTTTTGAGTGCGAGCGCGAGACGTTTAGACTCTTAAATTGCGAGCCCCAGATTCGGTTGAAAGCTATGAGAATGAGCTAGAAGGAGCTTATACAGAAGTCTCACAAAGGATGCTTTTGTTGGCTCATCCCCGGTGTAATAACCACAGCTGACGTCACACAATAAATTACTAAAAGATAATAAGAAATTTGATTGAAAGGATCACCATGTCATTGAGCCAGTTGGGTCTCCTTACAGAATAAATTAATAAAAGATCATTTAGGCCATTTGGGCCGGTTGGGTCACTTGGGCCACTTCGGCCACTTAGGCCAGTTGGGTCATTTGGGCCACCTAGGCCAGTTGGGTCATTTGGGCCACTTGGGCCAGTTGGGTCATCATGTCCATAGGGGAAATTATGAAAAGGGGTTCTTCTTTTTCATACAGTGCTTAAAGGATTAGGGACCAGTCATTTATTAGAGGCAGGGGGGGTGGGCTGGTGCATTTTAATTTTCCTAAACATAATTTCCTGTGGGCCTGTTCTTGCCACTGCATAATATACTGTGGCCACTCTTCGAGTCTGTACATGAAATAAGATGACCTGCCCTCAACCACAGAAACAGTTTTAATACAACTTAAATAAAACTCACTGAACTATTTAAAGCAATGCAGTAAATGGTTTGAACCCGGGGGTAACATGTGAAGGTGTAGTCTGATCGTCCGGGTGAGTGTAGTCCTGAGAAGGACGACAATACTACGACAATACTACAACCGCTAACCGACAAATCCAGACATAAACTATAGTCCTCTGAAGACTTTATTGACGCTACCAAGACTGTTCAGATACCTGACGACTACAAAATAGTGTCATTTGATGTGAAATCACTGTTCACAAGTATTCCACTTCAATTGGCATTACAATGCACTGAGACTGCAATCCGACAATCTACCGACCCACTACCGCTACCGACAGACGACATCATGGACTTGCTAAACATTTGCCTAACATCTACTTACTTTCAGTACAACGGTAAACACTACAAACAGTTACACGGCACTGCCATGGGGTCTCCAGTTTCTGTTGTTATAGCAGAAATTGTGATGCAGAACATCGAGGAACGCGCCCTTTCGACTTGCCGACAAACGATACCGCTTTGGTTACGTTACGTTGACGACACATTCACCGCCGTTCGACACGACGAAATTGACGCATTCCACAACCACCTTAACGAACAAAACACTGACATACAGTTTACCAGAGAAGTCGAAGAAAATGGCAAACTTCCTTTTCTAGACTGCCTGGTAAGCCACAACGACAACTCATTACGAACGACAGTTTACAGGAAACCGACACACACCGACAGATTACTAGACGAGTCATCCTACAACCCTACATCACACAAAGCCACAACTATCAGAACTCTAACACGACGCGCACAACTAGTATGTGACTCGACAGACAGCTTATCCGACGAGAACAAATACCTTCACCGTGTTTTTACGAAGAACAACTACAACAACGACTTCATCCGACGAAACACTCACCGACCCACTACCACTACCGAAACAAACGACACCGCAACCCCTACGACTACAGCAACCATACCGTACATAAAAGG